AGTAACGTAACGGAATACGTTACAGAATACATTTTGGGGCATGTATTCTGTAATCTGTAATGGAATACATTTTAAAAGTAACCTTACCAACACTGGCTGCTAAGAGATGGGGGTAACTCAAAGTGCAGCTAATGAGAATCTAAGAGAATCGCAATCATAACTGATGTCAGTATTGGATTTGGAATTCTTATCAATTCCCATTCCTACTCCCACTGCATCTACTGCCCTGAAGTATTAACCTGGAATTAAGACACTACAGTTTTGTAGTGTCTATTGGGTGTGTTTAATTTGCACAAGGTCTGCTCTGCCGTTCCTGTGTCTGTTTTGTACCAATGAGCCACTTTTAAGATGTCTCACTCTCCAACACATTACTGAAATTGGTAATTTTCTGGTAATCAGTTGTACAGATAACTGATTACATAATTTCTTTTGGGATAAATAAAGTATTCTGATATCTGCTGGTCTCACAGTCGCTATGATGGATATATGAGATAGAGCTCATACAACAAAAACCATGACCTGGGGATCATACCAGTTGCTTGGCTGTTACACACTAACAGTGGTTTACCAAATTATCTGTCTTTGATTCTCGCATGAATCAAAGGTTTGCAGCAGTTTTAATTTAATTACTAAGATGAGTCAAGGCTGCAGAAAAATATTAAACAGGAAAAATAACAAACAAACCCAAAAACAATGAATCCACCAAGGCAGAAAAAAAGAACAGGTAGCAGAGTGAGAACAGGAGAAACCGATGAGAGTAAAAAAAAACAGTAAAAGACAAAGTAAAAACAAACAAACACAGAAAGTTATCCTTTCAAAATAAAAGAGGAATCTACAGAAATGTGTAAAATTCTGTCGTGAACCACAATGTCTATAAATACCAGTGAAGCACAATAAAAGTTACAGATTCTTAAAAGAAATAGAGACAGAGAAGTTCAAGCATGAGTAAAATCAGGAACACTTTCCTGTGAAAGTTTTAAGACAACTTAAAGGAAGTCTCTGACTCAGCAAACCAGATTTCCTTCAGTAGAGCACTCCTCGCCTCGAGGTGCTTCTATAAATCTCCTGTCCTCTTTAGTTTTAGTTGTGCTGTATTTCAGTCTGGGCTGAATGTTTAAGCTACTACAGATACCTGATAAAGGAACTGTGTTTATACACAGTTCCCAGACGACAGCGTTTCCAGGGAAGTTCTTGCATGTTTTGACAAGATAATGCTAATCTGCATAGTGGGGTTTAGCTTTACTGTACACTTTCTCATTTTAAAAATGTGATGCGTTTTCTTTGTTCAGTTGTAAATAAAAAAGGGGTTGCATTTTGTTTTTACAGTTTACAAAGCGTCCCAGCGTTTTTGGAAGCGGGGTTGTAAAATTGTATATTTGTCTGAAAATGTGAGACTATATGTATAAACAAGAGTGTAACTCCTAAAACGTTAATGCAATACTTTTGTTAAAGCCGTCAGTTAAAGCTAAAAGTCTGCATGTCAATCGCATCCTGACGGTGAAGATAAGTTTTCACTTCTAGAACAGACAGAAGGAAAAAACAATACGCCCAAGCAAAGGACCTTAAAAGGGTCATTTTTAAGTGTTTCTGGCTCAGACGCACACAGCAGTGAGCTCGTCCCATCAAATCACAGCTACCTTCACTCACAGCCTGCAGGCTCTTTAAGCAGCAGAGGAGATCCTTGGTGTAGTTGTTCAGGAAAAGGCACCAGGAAATATAAATGGATCAATTATGGGCCACATGGAAGAAAGATGGAGAATTACCGTGGGCCATAACACACCCACACCAGCTTTTCTCAAACTTTTTGCGACACACCACCTCAGAAAAATTATTAATAATAAAAAAAGATGTAATTTTTAGTTAAATAATGATTGGTGCTGATAGCAACAGTAAACTGTTTATTTATTTCTCCCTAAAAAACAAACCAAAAAAACATAACAACCAAAATTTCAACATGCAGTGGCTGTGCCCCATCGTTTGGGATGATATCCTCAACTGTAAAGCAACCTGTATCCACATGGGGGCAGTGTTGTACTGAGCAGCTGAGTGTTGCTCATGAACCACCAAACAGCAGGTTTAAGACACTGCAACACTAAATTCATCTGCTGAGTAACATACAGTAAAATACATTAGGACTGCTCAGTAACGCCCCATAGAGGCAGCAGCGTTCATTACAGTCACAACATGAGCAAACATCTTGATTCTGTCCTTCTTACTGTCTTGATGCATGCTCAATCATTCAGGTAAGTAAATCCCAAAAGGTTGATTCTGTTCATCTGGACGTAGAGTTTTCAGTGGGAGAAACGTTTCGTCACTCATCCAAGTGACTTCTTCAGTCTCAGCTGACTGCAGGTTTCCCCAGCCGTATAAACAGGTTTATACAGTTTATACTGTTTTGTTTATAAAAAAAAAAAAAAAACAGTCTATGCAATACTTTT